CTATCTATCTATCTATCTATCATCTATCTATAATCTATCTACCTATTTATCATTTTTCTATCATGTGTCTGTCTATCTGATCTATCATTTTTGGTCATCTATCTACTTGTTTTTCTATAAGCTTATATATAAATCAAAAGGGAGCTCAAAGGGAGTATTATAACGATATCAATCTCATCACCTTTGCTTTTTTTCTGTCTTTAAATTCATTTTGACACTCTATATGTGATCTTTCAGATTGCTATCTTTAGATACTTTATCACTTAGTAGACAAAAATAAAAGGATTAAACATTTGAACATAAGCACCATAGGAATCATCTATTATGTGTCTCTCTATCACCTGTCAATAATCTGACATGTTCACCATCATAATGCATCTATACAGACATATATCTATCAATTCATTTATCTAGCCACCCAGACACCTACCTATTTAATCTATATATCTATTTGCTTGGTTATTATTTATCTATTTATTTTCTACTATGTTCCTAAAGACTAATCTAGGGAAATAACTTTATGAGCAGGATTGAAATTAAAATATAATTGAAGTGAATATAAAATATTTTTAAATGTGAAATTTTGGAAAACAATGTATTTATTGTCTTCCTTTCTGAAAGTTTCACATTTAACTTGATCATATTTTTTTTTTGTTGTTGTTTACAGAAAGTTCCCAGGAAAAGATGCCAAATATGGGTTTTATTCCAATGTCATGTAATTTGGTTGATGAATTTGCTGGAGACATTTTGAAAGACTTGCCTTTCCTAAAGTGGTAAGGCCTCCATTTGTTTTAATACATACTTGTTTGGAATGGATAATATTTATTAAATATTCTTTGAGAAAGCCTTTTCTGAATAAACTGCAGAAACTTAAAACTTTAAAACTTAAAAGCCACTTTTAAGATAGTAAATTACACATAATACATATTTGCAACATTTTGTCCATTGACCATCTTTATCACCTCTGTATGATTTGAGTTGGAGAACAAAGCACTCTCCCACTATTTTTAAATTAATAGAACAAGGAATGTTTGAGAGTGTTGGAGACATGAATAGTCCTGGCTTCTGAAGCTTCTAATAAAATGCCCTTTGCATTCTACCACACATGCTGTGTCCCAGGAAGAGGAGAAGGAACTATGATTTTTCAAAGTTGCAAGATGTGTTAGATTTGGAGACATGAAATTTGAAATATGCTTCTATTTCTTTTTGACTCACAGTGATGACCCCGTTGTCACCTCACTGGTTAAGCAAAAGGAGTTTGATGAACTTGTGCACTGGCATTCCCACCGACCCCTCAGTGATGATTATGACAGGACAAAGGCCAATTTTGATGGTGAGCTTGCTGATTCTGTTAAACCAATATAAATCGACCTCACTCTGCCCTTTATTTCAAAGTGAAAAACACATTATGAATACCAATCAGAAGTTTTGGGGAAGAACAGTCAACAAGACATTCAATGGACACCAGGAAGGATGTTAACAGAGTTCTCCATTTGTTTCCTGGTGGTTATCCATATGGAGGTTGTAGGTGTCTTAGGCAGAGGAACTTGACACTGTGTTAAGGGAAGATGGTTTGTGGTTTAAGAAATCTGGATGGTCTTTGTTGAAGTCTCATATACAATGGTTAAACTCTCTGCTCTGTGGCTGTGGCCCAGGATGAGGGCCTTGTTTTTTCCTATCCAATACTTCAAGGAACCAGAATGTCTCAGATGGTTTTCTTCTTGATTTTGTCTATTGAAGCTCATTCACAGGGCACACGACAGGTAAAGCTCAGAGTCTGTCTCTAAAACAAAACACTGCCACCCCAAGCATCCTGGAAGGGTGCTCGTGGGTCCGTACTCCTTACTGCTAATACTGATCGATGCTGGAGGAGAGATGGCCATTATCGTCAGTTGTGTATCCAATGAGGCACTCATAGTGCTCCATTGGCACTATGAGCCAAACCTGTGGACAAACCCATAGACCTGATTAAAATTAGCGGGTCAGGAATTAAAAAAAAATAGATGAGTTTGGGAAAAAGACTTGTAGGGAAGTGGGGGAGATGACAGGTTCAAAAGAATATAAATGAGATGGCATAATTAATTAGAGTGCATTACATCCATTGCCAAAGAACACATTTAATCAATAAACTTAAATAACATCCTTAGTATTCACTTTTGGAAGTAGACTGTGAAAAATTGTTTTGGAAGTATTTGAGCTGCTGGGAGTTGTTGGCCAGTAGTAGAACCCTTGACCTGCATGAACGAAATCCTAGACTTAATTCCATAGGCTACAGCCTATGGAATTAAATATATTTATATTCAAATATATATATATATATTTATATTCATATATATATATTTGAAAAGTTGCCACCTTTTTTGATATGTTAAAAGTTATTCTATGGATGAGATTTAAGATACCTTCTTTGGTCAAACTGATCAGACAAAATTGCTATTCTGTACTAGAAAGGAAAGTGCCTGTATTTGGAATGGTGGGAAGAGTTAGAGGTACATCTAAGAAATCACAATCATTTTACATTTTAAGTTTTTTTTTCTTTTTTTCAGAGCATTCAAAAGACCCCCATCAACTTAGAAGTTTGCAGAAGTATCATGTCTTTCAAAGATTTTATGGGAATTCGTTAGAATCAGTCTCTTCCAAGATCATCACAACTCAAGGTGTTAAGCCAAAGAAGGACTGTAGTAAGTCCAGGGGCTCGAAGGCACATGTAAGTTTCTATAAATTCTACTATAAAAAAAAGCTCTTGCTGCTGTTCTTTATTAAAGTGATGTTTGCTCATCCCATTGATGGTTTCGTTCCATGAGACAGCTTCTTTTTATATGGGTCTAGTGGTTTGAATGAGATGTCTCCCATAGTCTCAGGTATGCATGACTCCAGTGAGCAGCACTGTTTGGGGAGGTTCAGGATGTTGGCCTTGCTGGAGGAAGTGTGCCACAGGAGGCTGGCTTTGAGAGTTTAAAGCCTTGCCATTTCTGCTTGCCATGGTGTATATGCGGAGGTCAATGGGGGTTTCCATGATTCATATAATGAAACCTGGAAAAGCTTTGTGGAGTCCTCTCCTTGCACCTTTCCATAGATTCTGGGGACTGAACTCGAGCTTCAGGCTTGGAAGACAAGCACCTTTACCTGAGGAACCATGTTATTGGTCCTCTAATTTGACCATGTAAAATAAAATAATAGAGTTTGTAAAACCACAGTAAAAGAGGGTCCATATCATATCATATCATATCATATTATATTATCCTATCATATGTCATATCATATTATATATTATATATTTTTAAATATAATATTACATTTAAATCATTTGAAAACACTTATTTAGGTAAGACAAATTAGTTTTATATATGATGATCCCTGTCCATTCCTTGCTTTCAGCTCCTGTTTCTTATTCACTCAATCAATATTATGGACTAAATGTTTTTGGCTTAGGGAATCCAGGCAACTTCAGTGCAATTTTATCTCTAAGATCTCAGTTTAGGGAGGAAGAATGGTGCATGTAGGTACAGGTATAGTAAACCTTGGTGAGTAGGTGCTTGCCAGGGGAGTGATACAATATCATTAGGCATGAGATTCAGAGAGTAATTCATGATAGGAACATCATGATCATGTAGGGAGTAGGAAGGCGACTTGGTAGAGAAGGCAGCAGACATGCAGTCCCAGAGAGGATAGCAGATATCACTGCATGGAGGCATGAAAGAATCTTTGCAAGGTATCTTTGACAATAATTACGTTTACCCTTTTATATTTGACACTACATAGATATTTAGGAGATTCTACAGCAAGTCTTTATATTCAACGAGTTGAATTATTATGTTTTCAATTTTTTAATCTTAATTAAAAAAACATTTTTATGACTATTCAAGTAGGCGATGATGGTCAAAATCATCAGTGCATACTTAAAAATACCATTTCACTCATGAAATGTCAATCTGGAATAGTTCTATCTTGTCACGAAATGTTTCTTTCCATTTGGGCAGGAGTCCAAGGCTGACATCATTGCTAGAGAGAATAAGAAGAGGTTAATTGCCAAGGAAGAACAAAAAGAAGAAGAAAAATGGAATACCCTGTCATTTTCTATTGAGAAGGAGATGAAAAGGAACTTAAACTCTGGGATGAAGAAGCTGGAGGAGTTTTTGAAATCATGTAAAAGTAATTCAGTGAAAGCTCAGGCTGAAAAAGTTGGGTTAATGGCTGGCTTGAAGGCATGGAAGGATCACTGCCGAGCTGAAGGTGAGTGGCCTGTGGTTCTGTTCACTTACCTTGATGAACTACGGAGTTCACAGTGATGTGATCATGGTGGTTTGTCACCTGCTAACCAGAAATTTGTATAGTAGGAGCCCTAAAGGATTTTTGCCTCTGTTTTTATCAATGAGCAATGACATCTCAGAGAGGTGGCCAACAGCAAAGACATAGCACATTCGTAAGCACAATTAAAGACAGGTTTAAACTAACTGCTGAGCAGGAAGAGAGCATTGTTAGCAGGACCAATAACAATGCGGCACAGAGCAAGAA